GGGCGGAGGGCGGTGACGCTGAGAAGGAAGCGGAGAGGCGAAAAAGTGAAGTTGAGAGACAGTCGAAGTTTCGGTTACTTTGTATAAGAACGATAGATAATTTACAACTAAAAATAAGTAAGACTGGTTAGCTTGGTAACAGTATTGTCTTGGGATGCGGTTTTCTTTGAAAAGAAACATTTGTAGGGGAGCTTTCCTCATTCACAGACTTTAATCGTGTTTAGGAGTAAGAACTAATTTTCGTGAACAGGTTACAGACTTAAGCCTTCTCTTTTAGTATTGTTTATTGGGAGTGTGATGGAAATGGTTATTGAAAGAGGAAGTAGGAAAGTAAATTTTTCTGGTAGGCTTTTGCATTCCGCTGCAATAAATCTATTGCTGGTGTATAAAGTATCCTATTATCTTCTGTTATGGTTTGATTTTCCCCAAAATGCCTTCTTTCAGGTACAGAGTAAGAAAATTGAAGTAAACGACCATGGGAGATGCTGCAAAACCATATTTTGTGAAACGGGCTAAAGACCGAGGGGCTTTAGATGATGACGACTTCCGAAGGAGTCACCCACAACAAGATTATTTAATAATGGATGATTATGCTAAAGGCCATATTGGTAAAACTGAAAAAGGCCTTCCAAAAAAGAAAGTATCACCAGGGAACTATGGGAATACTCCCAGAAAAGGACCATATGCAGTTTCCAACAGTCCATATGCATTTAAAAACCCCATTTACAGCCACCCGACCTGGATGAATGACAGCTACAAAGATCAGAGTAGGAGATGGCTTTCCGATGAACTTTCTGGTAATTCGGACAATTGGAGAGAAAGTAAACCTGGACCTAGAATTCCAGTTACAAGCAGACCAAGAAAAGACCCCTTTCAAGAAAGTGAAGATGGGTATAGATGGCAAGATGGAAGAGGCTGCAAAACTGTGAGAGGACTGTTTCATAAGGACCTAACGAACCTAGAAGCTATGTCAGAAATTGAAGCAGGAAGCCCTGGTAATATGTCCCTAATTTGTCAAGTTACAATCCTGAAGTCAGTAATGTGACAGTAATGTCAGTAACAGAACTATGGAATTCTGTTTTAAGCTGAGAAGTTCCAGGTTTTCATTGTTTCTGCTTTACAAAAGTAGTCAACTTATTTCATGTGTTTCAACTTCAACACAGTTTTGATCTCTTTAAAAGTTTATTTTTGCTCTGATGCTCACTTTAGTTAGCTTTTTTTTTTTTAATTGGTGCTTTTTACAGAAGAGACTATAACCATGTTCCCCTTGGGGCCATATCATAATTTTTGAGTTGTGTGTTTTGAATACTGAATGTGTCTGTGGATATAGACAGGCAAAACTAAAAAAAATTTGATTTTATATAATACAATAAATTTTGTGGCATGCAAATATATCCTGATGTCTTTAGCAAGGTCCAATATTCCTACCCCATTTCCCAAAAGGTGCATGACAAACAAAGGATAAGAAAAATAAGTTTAGAAAGTTAAAAATGCAATAAGAACTTTACTGTTTCATTTCAGTAATATCAAAATATTTTTTAAAAGCTTTATTATGAATTGGATAAAAGTTTAAAAATCTTATCACTTTTTAATTTAATAATTCATACACATTCTATTTTATATCAGTTCACTTCAATACCCACAATGTAGCATTACTTATCCAGCCTTCCATTTCTGTTTTTCCTTGTTCCCTAACCCTTCCTTCCTGCCTTTTGGATTTTGTCCTTGGGAAATGCTGCCATTTTTTAGATGTAAAAAGCAAATGCATTTTGTACCAGTGGTTCCTATAAATAGGAAAGTTATATTTATCTAATGGGCAATAATGGGAATTCTGAAATGAAATAAAGTAATGATTTAAAACAAGCTAATGATTTAATACAAATTATACTTGGAAAAGTGGACTTTTGAGTTTATTGGCAAAAACCCTTTGTTAGTGGCTATATGAAATGCCGTCCAATCATTTTATTAGGGGCTCATACAACTCATCACAATCTGTACATACGTCATTTGTGTCCAGCACAATAATACATATGTTGACTTCATCATTCTTACAACACCTGCTTTCCACTTGAGCCCTTGGTCTGACCAGCACTTTTAAACTTTTGCTAAATTTTAAGGTTTGTAGGTGATGTGGATATTGTGCAAGTCTCCAGATTCCCTCATGTTCGTGTTACCTCACAGTGATCAGTCTGTATGTGTGTGTGTGTATGTGTAAGCATTTGTGAGTTTTGTGAGTTTTTCACCTTGACCATATCGAGTACCTTTTTTCCTTTGCATAGAATTCTTAAACTGTAAGTCAATTATAAATCTTTAAATAAAATTCTCAACTGTTTGTTAGCAAGGGACCAGTGCTGTCTTATTATGGTAAATATATAGGTAGCAAAATAGTTGCTATTTCTATAGTTTTCACCTAGACAGTTGAATGGCAGTGATTATGCTCAAATGTTCTAACATCATCATTATTGTTTTGTATTTTTTAATATTTAAGCAGAAAAAATGAGATGTTATAAGGGAATCAAATACTTTTTAGTTTAAAAAGAGCTTGAAGTGATTATGTTCCCCACTCACTGTCTTCATATTGCAAAGGTGAAATAGCAGTTTTATAAGTCAAGAGTTGTAGGTCAGGAGAGGCTAAATTGATCTCGAATTTCGCCATGCAGAGGTATCTGAGGAAGTAGAACTGAAGTCTTGTCCTCCGCTTTTCTTGCTATTAACTCAGGAATTAACTGGAGGGAAATTGTGTTTTATAAAGGAAAAGTTTCTGAATATTTTTATATTACTGGGTCCAAGTGAGATGTAGAAGTTTAATTTATTGGTCTTTTAGAAAAGAAAAACTTGGCATTGAAAAGCATTGTAAAAAGAAAGATTTATAGATAAATGTAACTAGACAGATATTAACAGTGACAATTTATGATTGACAACTCCAGTGTATTCTTACTTGTTTATCAGAAGTAATAAATTACTTTTAAGTGTTTTTCAGAGGAAGTACATTTTTTCCATCATTTAATGGAAGGCATTTTTACTGTCCTTTAATTGAAAGTGAGCATGCTTTGTCTAAATTAAATAGACGCATGCTTTCACAGTTGCTAAATAAAGAGCTGTTCAGGATCTGTCCCATAAAAGTCTTCATGAAGTAATGTGCTATAAACTTGCTCTAGAGGGAAATTCATTTTAAAATAGAAACTGCATTTTATGCAAAAGTTCCTAGAAAGCTTTCTTACTGGTATCTTCATAAGGAAAGATCCTACTAAGTGATGATGTGAAAATGATTTAACGATTTCCTTATTTTTAATGTTAACTCTCTGTTGTTCATTTTTATATTGTCACCCTCCACTTCATCCCTGCACATCCTAGATTGCCAGCTTAGTGGGTTTAGAACAGTGCATTTATGATCATAATTAGGAAACATACACTCAGGCACATGCAATGACTATATGCTGACTATAGAGAATTCATATTACATTAAACATAGGAAGAGCCATGTAATCTTCCTCTGAGTAATGATGAGAGTTTTTTAGCCGCTTGGTCTTCCAAGTTCCCATTCTCTGAAATGTTATGTGGTTGTTTTATGCCATGCAGGACTATGAAATATTGATCAAAAGGTTATATTATATTTTGAGTTTTCCTCTATTGTAGATATGAAGTAGAATATTCAAAAAATTAGGTAACTTATTTTTCAAATCTTATTGTAAAAGAAAAGCTTGATTCTCAGAATTCCATCCATGTGTCTCTGAGTAAGTTATTTATTCTCATATTCTGTTCTTTTCCCCAACTTTATAATAGGGGCAGTAGCATCTGTAATATAGGATTATTGCTCATGGCAATAGTTTTTTCTTCAATCAAAAAGTTAATTATAATTAACTGAAAATATTACATACAGAAATCTCCTCAAGGCATTTCAATAGGTTTATATTTCCAAAGACCAGTTTATAGTAAGCCATTTAAAGCTTTAATCTTTACATCAAAATTCTGATTTGGAAAATAAATTTTATGTTAATCTGATGTATTACAGGTAGCTTAAAAACTAACTAAAAATAAGTATTATAATCTAGTCCCATAGTTATCTTCAGTGTCATCAAATGAAAAGTTTTGTTCCAAAAATGAACAGATACACTTATGAGTTATAAGAATTGTAGAACTAACAACAGAGCTTATGAAACAATATTATTAAGACACAAATTACTTGTGTTAGTTTGAACTTAGATAAAACTTTTATTTCAACTATGATTTTTATCTTATGAAATGATATTAAAATGAATTCAAAGAAAGTGAAGATAAAATGGACAATAGTTATCCTTAGGGTGTATAATGTTGGCCTGAATTTCTTGGTATTCATGCTTAGTTGAGAGAGGAGAGAGCCTCCCAGTTTCCATTTGTTATCAGAAATAAACTTTGCAACTACGTAACTCCAGTAATGGGCATGCTTTATTTCTGAGTTTTCTACAGATATAGTGTCCATTTTTGCCCCATTAAGATCTGAAAAGAAATGTGGATGATTTTATTTAAAATAACAGGTATAGTGGACGATGTCAGATTATAAGGATAACTAGCCTCTAGAAGATGATAATTTTGACTTGCATAAGTATGCTTAGCAGTATACCAGGGAGAGATGATAAAATTACATTGAATACTTGAAATATTTTTTTTAATGCTTTCCGAAAAAAGATTATTTGTGTGGATTGATATATGCAGTAAAGAAGTGTAATGAACACTCAGGCTCTTTGTCCATGGGAGAGGTACCATATCTTCTAAGTCTTGTCTTTACAATGAAATATGGAAGTTTGACTTTTTACTTGGAGTGACATTGTTCATTATTTTCAATAATGTTTTTTTCCTTGACTGAAGAAAATAAGAAGCAGAGGTCCAGACCAAAGAAACTCAGGAGAACGAGAGATGAGGAAAATGAACAGGACGAAGACTTGGAAGGTCCTGTGATTGATGAATCAGCCCTGTCCATGAAGGAGCTCCTGGGCTTACAGCAGGCTGAAGAGCGACTGAGAAGAGACTGCATTGAGAGACTAAAAAGGGTAATGTCTCGGTGTCTCTTTTTTCTGTCTTTGTATCTATCTTATTATTATAAAGTCTTTATTTTTGTTGGCCCTATGTTGGTAATTTGGAGTAGGTGTATTAGTGAGCTGGATATCCTAAGTTGGTTATTAGTTTATATATACCACAAGTTAAAAATTATATTCACTTGCATTTAGTAGAACTAATACTTGCTATTTAAATCAAAATGACTATTGAGAGTAGGGGTAAAGGGAGATAATAGTACATGAACAATTTCAAGCATAAAGGGGAAATGGATTTCTAGCTAATGTTTACTTGTATGTTTGGAGATTACCTGTCTGTAAATCTCTTCAAATTACAGCGACCGCGAAACTGCCCTACAGCAAAATACACCTGCAAACTCTGTGATGTTTTAATTGATTCCATTGCATTTGCCCATAAGCATATCAAAGAGAAAAGACACAAGAAAAACATTAAGGTAAGTTTAATGTAGTCCAAACAAATATCTTGCCATTTGTTATTCTTGTCATCCTTTTCTTCTCTCCTTAAGGCTGTGATCTTAACAGCTTTGCCAATTATATTTATTGATTTATGTGACCCCCCAATATTTTATACTTATATTTACTTTAAAGCATATACTGATTGATTTTAGCCAGAATATTTCATACTTGTCATGCTAAGCAGTCTCATATAACAGAAGTGTTTGAAGCCAGTGATAGAACCTGGGTGTATGTCAGCCCACTGCCATCAAGTCCATTCCGTCATAGCAACCCTATAGGACACAGTAGAACTGTTCTCTGTAGGGTTCCTGAGACTGCCTCGTCCTCTGTCTGCTGAGTGACGGGTCGGTTTGAATTAGCAACCTTTCTGTTAGCAGTCCCAGTGTTTAGCCCACCATACCACCAAGGCTCCTTATACTAGAAAAAGTAAGCCATAATTTGTTGATATTGCTATTGTTAACATTTGGTTGTACTTCCATCTGTTTTTATGTATTCATTATTATGACATGTTATGCTCGTTAAAAATTTTGTATGTTGATGGTATTATACAGCTAAGATGAGAGGGAGTTAAGGAAAAATTCCAGAAATCATAGAGTTTTGTCTCAGTGAAATAATAGAAGTTAAAAAAAATAAAGTAGAGGCCAATTTCTAGTCTCACTGTTTATCTTAATAGGAAAAGCAAGAAGAAGAGTTACTCACAACATTACCCCCACCAACACCCTCTCAGATAAATGCAATCGGCATTGCCATTGACACAGTGGTACAAGAGTTTGGCTTGCACAATGAGAACCTGGAAAAGAGACTAGCAATTAAACAGATCATGGAAAATGTATTCCAGCACAAGTTACCAGGTATTTTTAGGATTGTATTTTCTCTTTATTCCCCAAAAGTGCCTCATTCATTTTAGCCACTGGTATTAACTTTCACTTTCTAAAAATTGATTTGGTATGACCTGAAGATCTTAGCTCTTTAGTTTGATTTTCCTGGCATATCCTTCAAGATAACAAAGATTTAAATACATTGTTATGAAATGTTATTGTGTGTGTGGGCTTTAATTTAAGCTGCTATTAAAATCAAAACCCATTACTGTCTAACTCACAGTGACCTGATAGGCCAGAATAGAGCTACCTCAGAGTTTCCAAGGCTAAAATCTTCATGGAAGCTGTCTGCCACATCAATCTCCAATGGAGCAGTTGGTGGGTTTGAAGTGGCAACTTTTCAGTTTACATTTGGCATGCTTTAACCACTGCGCCACAATGGCCCTTTGTACTGCAATTCCCCAACGCAACCCTGCCATTGGGGAATCCAACCCATAATCACACTATCTAGGGTTTCCCAGGCTCTTTCTGGGAGCAGATAGCTTCCCTTTCCCCCTCAGAGTGGCTGATGTGTTTGAACAGCAACTTTAATGGTACCAGTCCGACATTACTTGACAGTGCCGTCTGGACACTTTTTTTTTTTTTTAAGTCAAACTCCCTGCCATTGAGTCATTTCTGACTCATGGTGACACTATAGGACAGAATAGATAGCCCTTTGGGTTTATGAAACTGTGTAGGAGTAGAAAGCCTCATCTTTCTCTTGGGGAATGGCTATGGCTTCCAACTGTTAACTGCTGACCCTGCACTTTCTAATATTAGCTAACTCCTCATATTGTCAGGACCCTTTGAACTGCTACTTTTTACCTGTCTAAATTGATACTTATTTTTTACCTAAACTAAAAAGTACTTTTGGGGTCAGTTTTGAGCATCTAAACAGATTTTAGGCAAATTTTAAAAGAATTATATATAAAATGAGCTTTGAAAACTTAACTACTAATGTAGTTTGTGTGCTGTTGAGCAACTTATTTTCTAGGTTAATATTAGAAATATTTACTGTCTGCTGCCTATATTGACTTCCAGGTCTTGGGGATAGGGAGCAACTGGGTCATTTGGACCGTGTAAGGCTAGGTATGGCAAATGTCTGACCCAACTGCAGACAATCCTGAACAGTATCTGAAACTTTTTTGCATGTTCTCTTGGGGTAAATGATTAATTAGAGTAGCTTAATCATTCTCCAGCCTGGCTGTACGTTAGAAGTACCAGTGGAGCCATAAACACTAATTTTAGAAAGTTCACAAGTGATTATGATCCACAGCTCGGGTTGGATTCACCATTTAAGTATACCACCTAAAAGATTTCTGTAGTATTTTTAGATGGGCACAGTTGATCTTCAACAACACGGGGGTTAGCCTTCCACACAGTTGAAAAATCCATATATAATTTACAATTGACAGGTTTGAACTATGTGGAGTCACTTAAATGTGGATTTTTGTGTGTGTTGCTATTGTAGTTGTAAACTTGAATATATGCTTACCCGAGTATCTGTAGTTACTGGAGGGATGAACTGCTCAGGCTGAGTTGATTAACATCAGCTTTTTAAGCAGCTACTAGAGCTCAGTATAGTAGCAACAGGGAAAAATGATTCACTTAAAAGTACACCCCCCTGTAGTATTGTTCACGGGTCAACAGTATGTATACTCTGAGAAGAATGGTAGCAGGGGGCATGATGTATTCCCTTATATGGATCGATCTTTAATGTTATAGACATGTTCCATAAAAGTTGCTTGTGATTTTAATGATTTTTAAAAAATCATTTTATTAGGGGCTTATACAACTCTTACCAAAATCCATACATACATCAATTGTGTAAAGCACATTTGTACATTCATTGCTAGCATCATTCTCAAAACATTTACTCTCCTCTTAAGCCCTGGCATCACCTCCTCATTTTTAGCCCCTCCCTCTTCGCTCCCCCCTCCCTCATAAACCCTTGATAATTTATAAATTGTTATTTTGTCATAGCTTACACTGTCCCATGTCTCCCTTCACCCACTTTTCTGTTGTCCATCCCCCAGGGAGGAGGTTATATGTAGATCCTTGTAA